CCTTTTTTTTTTTTGTGCAACGCGTAGTTTTCGCAATATCGAATTTGTCCACCTTCAGTGAAACACCCTGCGTATTGTAGTATTTGTGTAAATAAATTGGACGGGACAGACTCTTTTTCATTAAGTTCGACGAGATGGCGACAGCAGAATCAAGCTGCAAGAGCATTTGCTGTTGTTTTCTTCTCTCGAGCTCGTACGAAAGGTGGCTCGCGGCACGCGTTTGCTGCTAGGATCGGTTTTGCCTAGCGTGCCTTTATGTGCACTTTGCTTCGGGGCTCGGTGGCTTGGGGTGATGACACCTTACCAATTTTTTTTTAACTCTTATATTTATTTCTTTGCTCTGAAGCGCGTGAAAAAGCATGTCCCTGCACGCGTTCGTGGCGCTGACTGTGCTAGGGCGACATTTTGTTTCCTGCAACTTTTCTATTTTCCATGTGAGCGCGTGCTGTCGTCATCAGGTTCTACGAACGATGGCCTCACCCTCAACAGAAGGACATTGAGGTACTCTAGTTTTGCATGTCGGCTAGATTTTCCCGTCGTGTGATTTATGTCGGCAACGACGCACAATAAATGGGATCAATGAGAGGCAACGGATGTACGACGTAGTGATGCCATGGCAACGTCCAAATTGCATTGTTTACCGCCGTGCCCATCGCCTTTACTTTCAAATAGACCGCGGCCGATCTCATCAGCTATGCCAACCAATCCAGTCATAAAAACATGCACACGACACCCTGGTTTTTGATCCCCGAGACCAAGCGGAAAAGGCATATACTTTCAGCAAAGTCCCTTGGTGTGCTTGTGTTTGCCTTGCAAGCAACGTCAAATGCGCCAGTACACAATGCCTGTGCCACACGAGGCTCTTGGAAGCCAATGGCAGTGCAGCAATCTTTCGTGGCCGTGTCTCTAATGTTCGCACAACAGTGGTTGTCCGTACTTGGAAACGTCGGGCGTGAATTTTAACCAGAGTCTTTAGGCTCTCAGCGCTGGTTTGGCTTCGTTTGCTTGTATAACCCATTCCAGATCTTGGTCATTTTCATGGTCGTCTTGTGTGCTGCGGCATATATCAGCAGTAGAGTTAGAGCTCAATTTATCCAACATTTCAATTTTTAAAAATTTACAGCCCAGCGTGCGATCTCCACAGCCCAGGACGCGCATGTTTGTTGCTTCTGAAGGCAAACACATCACGTGCATGCCATACGCACGAACACTGAAAATGGCCCCGGCCAGAAGCCCGTGTCGAAAGGCCGTACTGTGTTTCGCATTCGTTGCGTGAACAAAGGAGAGCGTCGATAGTGATTCCATAACAACAAAGAATGTCTAAGGCGTCGCCATGGCCTCAAAAGACAATGATACGCGTGTTCGGCCGAGTTTCCAATATACATGGCTTGGAAGTAACGTCATTGCATCATTCTGGTGTTCATCTCAAGTTCTTTTTGACATGAGAAAGAAATTTAGTGGTAAGTAACTAAGTAGCGCCTCCACGGTGGTAGACAAAAGGGACCGTCCGCGATCTTTTATGAGAGTACGTGGAGCTCCGTGGCGGAGAATCACCTGGTTCAGCGGGAACGCAGCAATTTAGGGTGCTGTAGCGTTGGGAAGGACCGCTGTTTCTACGTAACATGTTAGATGGTCGATATACACAAATATCCAGTTCTGGGAAGGGTCCGAATAGGTCAACTCACACAACGACGAACGGTAAATGAGGGGGAGCTATGGGTTCGAGAAGTCCTGGGGGAGTTGATGTGGGACACTCTCGATGCTGGCACAGCTGGAAACTCCTGACGCACTTGAATACAGCACTATACACTCCGGGCCAAAAGAACCCATGGATGACAAACTCTTGTGTAAGTTTTAGGAATCCGAGATGGCGGGCAGGGGGCTCATCTTGCAGATTTTGTAATATCTCTTGTCAGAGGTGTTGAGGTATGACAAGGAGCCAACGCTTACCCTGTGGATCATAATTTTGACAAAACAATATCCCGTCAATATAAACAATTGTTGAGCTTTGTTAGTAAAACGTCAACTTTTGGACGGATTGCTGCCTCTCAAGTGGGAGAGTATCTGAATTATTCACACGATCTGCAGGCTGCTCGGAAGGCAAAGTCTCACAGGAATTAGGAGCGATTGAAGCTGTGGTATTTGTGTATAGTGCAAGTGTAGTAATGGTGTTAAAGTGCCCCTGGAAAGAAAAAAAAAAGTTTTTTAACAGTGTTGTTGGGACATCCGTGTCAAAAAATTAATTATACGCAAAAGAAAACATTTTTAGAGAAATATTCACTACCCGAGACGCGATTTAGTTGCTAGTCACCTCATTTCTACTTGTTTTTCATCTCGGCATGCCGAGCGCCTGGAGGAGAAGTGGACCGGTTTCGCCTTCGCGTCGAGGTGGAAAGAGCGAATTACCATCGCATTGAGCGAATGACCACTTCGTGACGTCATGGACTTTGCGTGCAGAATTTCAAATAAATTTATCGCCGTGAATACCGCTCTAAACATTTTTTTTTTCGCGTAAAATTTGTTTAGTGCCACGCGTGTCCCAACAGACTGTTAAAAAAAAAAAAGTTCTTTTTTTCCTTTCAAAGGCCCTTTAAGGGTAAGCGTACATCGGCAGAGGCCATCAGCGTCTTGATGTTTTTGACCACTTCTGTTGACGATATTAAAATCATACTCCTGCAGTTTTAGCGCCCACCGACCGAGGAGTCCGGTTAGGTCCTTAAGGGAAGCAAGCCAGCACAAAGAGTGGTGGTCGGTGACCACTTCAATGTGTCTTGCATAAAGCTATGGTCGGTCTTTTCCAAGAGCACAAGATTGAGATTTAGACGCTTCGTAAACAACACTTTAATAATATTTTAGACAGCATTCGTAAAACATGTTTTTAGGCGAAAGGCTTACTTGTCCCGATGAGCGAAAAAGCGTCGTATAAACCGATAAATATATATACGATTGAGCGGCTCGCTCCGCTCATCGGGCGATCTTACTTGTCCCATTGCCTTGGCGTCATCCTTGCGGTCATCCTAGAAGTCGTCCTATACCTCTAGGACGACTTCACTTTTCACAATACTTAAGAAACAAGCGGCGTCGGCGGCGTTGTGCTGTGCCCGAAGGATGATCATAAAATACGTCATCAGGTAACAGCAGCGTGATGCCAAGTGAATAACTTCTGCAAACATGAAATCCAGATAGAATCCATGTAGATGTCTAGTTTTATAATCCAGATAGAGAAACGTTATACTGGGTTTTTCGGTAGGGATGGATCTCTAAAAATCGCAAAACTCGATGTGTAACATACGAGTGTTCGATTTAAAGAATGATCTACCCGTTTAACACATCTAAAGTGGAATGACTTTTAAGATCACATCTTTAAGTGCCTCAAAATATTATTTAACTCACTAACTACGTTCTGAGACACATTTGTCGGTAGGTGTGAAACCGACATTAACGTCTATACCGAGGCGTTGACTTCAAAACAGTATTTTTGGTACACACCATACTAAACCAGAAACTAACGGACGACAAGGGCGCAAACACACACGTCTCAATCTTTATGAGTGAAGCAAAGTGATGAGGTGGAAAATGTGTGTGTTTGTCCCTTTGTCGTCCGTTCCTCGCCGGTTTAGAATCCTGTGGAACGTTAAGGAGCTCGCCTGCTTTATACATTTGGTTTCTGTTTTGCTCGTGACTTTATGTTTAAAAAAAATGTGGCCGCATCTCCACGTGGTGAATGATGTTCATTGCGGCGAAGCTGTGGTGGTGCTGATGATACTGATTTTATTGTTCATAGGTGGTGCGGAGCTCCGGATTGCGTTTCAACTTCATTATTACTGCTTAATGGTGGGTGAAATGCAGAGCCAGTGGTTCTTCTAGCGGATCAGCTTGGATCCGCTAGAAGCGGGGGGAACGCATCTCCACCGCCTAAGTCAACGGTCCATGTCAGAAAGAGAATGTGTTGTATGGATCGTGGTTATATACGCAGTTGAGCATTTGACCGCAGCGCCATCTCCTGTATAGACGTTGAGCGACTACATGCAACGTTGAAGTGTAGCGTAGTGTGCAATAAAGAAAAAAAAAGAGTAGCGTAGTGGTTAAGACGTCTGCCTCGTAAGCAAGCGGTTCCCAATTCGAGCCCCTAAACAAACGTACTTTTTTTTTTTTTATATGGGCCGATTTCGGAGGCAGTGCAATTGATGTGAGCACGGACGCCGGACAAGGCTAGACCCTAAGGAGCTTCGCCCCTAAGAAAAAAAAACTGTACCATGGAGTCAATATTACGCTACGCATATTTGTTGCTTTCGGGAGAAAAATGCGACCTGCCTGCGCACTACTCCAGCTTCCTCGCCAAAGCGGGAATAATTCGTGTCGCTCAGTAATGTCAGCACACCACGAGACAGGCCTAGAAAATGGTATACCATCACGTATCTCCGATCCTCACTATTACCGCCATTTTGATAAACGAGTGGCGCCACATATAGACAGTTGGAGTCGTGGGTGTAACGTGACACCTTCGCGTCACGTCACGGGGTAAACTTTCCCGCGGACTTTAGTGGGCTAAATGCCCCGTGGCCCACATCACATCTGTCAGCCACGTTAACTCTCCTTTGAGAATCTCCCCCAAACCAACAAAAAGAAACAAGAATATTGCGTTAAACAGAAATCACCAGTAGTATTAATATTAATTTTGGTTCACATGTAAAACAAAACCAGTCAATAAAGATACCCTCGGGTGACGTAGCCTATCTGTGTTTATTTGCTTTGCAACTAACATTGATACTCACCATTCAAAACAAGCTCTCACAAATAAGTTTATTCTGCCAGCATTTTAGCTTGCTAATGAATACCAACAATTATCTTTATATAATTCAATGCATATTTTTCTGCTATTGAAGCATATGATTATATAGCATCGTGAAACGAAAAATGTGAGTCGCTACTCTTGTAGGTGTTTCTTGTTTCAATTTACTATCGTTAGCTTGGTTTGATCTATGGTTTTAGTCAGCGCCATGCACATTCCTGCAGCTCATGTTAGGAGTGAGGCCTCACGTCATGGAGGGTTTATGAGTCAGTCTTACCATTTGGAGAGGGTGTTCGTGTTTATTTCTAAGCGCATTTTTTTCCTTCCGTCAAAGGACTTGATAATCTTCATGCACTTACGAGTTTTCCGAACAACCAACAAGCTCTCAGAATCGAACTGACAAAAATAGGACAAAGGGAACCGACAGTATTGCTCTATCACAAATTCGTCGTCGGCTCCAAACAGGAGGGTTACAAGCTGACCGTTGCCGACTACGAGGGTCCTCATCAAGGTAGGTATCGGTTCTGCCGCAGTGCCTTTCGCAACAAATGCGAAGAATGTGGAATGGCGCGTGTTATTGAGCGCTTTGTCAGCAGGGAGCAGGACCTCTGCGGCTCTGCCGATAGAAAACCGAAAATTGAAAACAAGCCCAAACTGTTTTTGAAAGGCTGTAAATGCTTGGGGTGCTTTCTGTCTTTCTACGTGCGCTGATTTTGTGATTCTAGACGGTTGTTAGCTATTTTCTAGCTGAAACATCGTTTAAATTTGTTAATTTAGAAATTCAAATTCCCAAACCTAATTCAGAACTTCGTTTAAGAAACTAGAACGAAATTAAAATCTTCTGTGTGACGTGTAGTTTCGCACGAACAATTCGGCTCATGTTCCGCGAAACACGCCGGCATGATCCACCTTTTATGAGATGGTAAAAATGATGTGCTATAACAGGGGTGGCCAGAGTGACATGGGGTTAGAGATGCAAACAAAACTATAAACGTTCTGAGAGCCGCAGGACAAAAGGAAGTAGTAATTCAAGTACACTAATTGAATTAATGTAATTTAATTACTTTCTTTTAAATTTGTAATTGCGTTTAATTACTTTGGGCTATAAGGAATTGTAATTGTAATTTAATTACTTTCTAGCTTCAGTAAGTGCAAAATTTCGGGCACAATTACAAATTACTTTTGCAAGACTGCGGCTCTGGCGGAATGCCTCTGAAAGCCTCAGTGCCCGCACCAGCGGCCTAGCTCTCGGTGACACACTCGCAGTTCCAAGTTTATTTTCTGTTGGCTTTACTTCGTATCATATTGGATTCAGCGTTTTGGAGACTGACTTCTCACCTGGGAATATTGTCACCATTGATTCAGGAGCCCCGATTCGGTTCTTACATAATTCTGAACCATCATAGTTCCAACTCAATGTAAATAAATCAATGAATCAATCAATCAATCAATCCTTTATTTCACATCAGAAACTGATGTAGGCTGCAGGGGCAAAAAGTCAAAAGTTTGACTTGACAAGGCCTCTGCAGCCTTACAATTGGCACACGGCGACATACTACACATGAAGTAATAACATTAAGTTTTCAGCTTTTAACATTAAGCAAATAAATAAATAAATAAAAAAGAACCAGAAGAACAGCATAAGCTAAACACGCTGTTAAAGATAACAAAAAAATCATATACATATATATATATATATACACATACACATATACATATGTATATACATACATGTATATACACGCATACATACACACACGTACATACATACGCATCATACAGACGCGCATATACACACATATATATAAGGCACATAGCATATTTAGGTACATGACAGGACAATAACATAAAACGTCTGTGTGTAAATGCGTTCCTATTAGCACGTGTGGATTATAATAACACTATTAAAATATTCTGAGAAGACTAATTGTCGTATATTTATTTGCCTGGCTAGCGAAATTGTGTCAACCTGATTTTACTTTACCGATCTGGCTCCTTCGAGCATATGAGCTAATTTAATATTATTTCTTGAAAATAAAAGAATGTAAGACTTCATTGCCCCAGACTGTCCAGTAGTATTAATAATTTAACATAATTCACACGAGTAACGTACAATACATGACATTTACACAGCGATGCCGAAGCCTCCTCCTAAGTGGGGCAAGCAAAGAACAAATGCGTTGCATTCTTAACTACTCGCTTAAAGTCATATGGCCCAAGTCGAATCGCTCTCATAGATAAGTAATTGTATTACATTTTAAAAGTAATTTGTAGTCGTAATGAATTACATTCACTTACTAGTAATTGTAATTGTAATTAAACTACTTTTAAAACAAAGTAATTGTAAATGTAATTAAATTACATTTTGAGAGTAATTTACCCATGTATGGGGCATCTTTATGCCGAAAAGCAATATGGTTTTATGTACGTTGTCTAGTACAAGACTGCCAAGACTATGAGCTTTTTTATTTTTTTTTATTGTAGAATATTGTTTTGTCTTGGTGACACGGGAGGAGAAAGGGGGCAGACTTACCAAGGAGCCGTGAGCCGCACTTGGACCCGTGAACAGCCGCACGCGGCTCGAGAGCCGCGGTTTGGCCCTTTGCTATCATGTTAACTTTTGACTGCTGTTTCTTACCAGGTTTTGTTTACCATTCAGTTCAACTGCATACATCCGTTGTGACTGGTACAGCTGAAGCCCCAGCACGATTCCGGACATTAATTATTGACACTTTAAGTGGGTTGTCGAACTAGTCAGACTAAATGCATTTTCGGAAAACCCAGGCTTTAGTCTTCCCAACTTGCTATTTATTATCTCTCCATTCAGATTAGCAATTGAGAAAGCAGCAAATGAAGGTTCTGCCAAAATCAACATTCAAATTTTCCCGCGTTCTCCAGCAGTGTGATGTCACACGCTGTATAACTTGGTGGCGGCAGCGGCAGCGTACGGACGCCAAATAATCAACTCTGCATTTTACAGCCCGCTGCTGAGGACCCTCCTGCGTCTTTGAAGAAGATTTCGTTACTTGGCATACTCGCGGCCTGGAGACAAGCTCTGTGGACAGTGTACCTGCTACAGCGTCTTCACATTGCATCGCAGAGACTGCCATCTATCCCAGTCACTTCCAACTACCTGATTAGTTATCGCTCGCTTCGAGTGGGCGGTGGCTGCGAGTGCGTCTATTACTTTGGTGGCGGCAGCGGCAGCGTACGGACGCCAAATAATCAACTCTGCATTTTACAGCCCGCTGCTGAGGACCCTCCTGCGTCTTTGAAGAAGATTTCGTTACTTGGCATACTCGCGGCCTGGAGACAAGCTCTGTGGACAGTGTACCTGCTACAGCGTCTTCACATTGCATCGCAGAGACTGCCATCTATCCCAGTCACTTCCAACTACCTGATTAGTTATCGCTCGCTTCGAGTGGGCGGTGGCTGCGAGTGCGTCTATTACTTTGGTGGCGGCAGCGGCAGCGTACGGACGCCAAATAATCAACTCTGCATTTTACAGGTTGGTGGTTTAGATGTTCTAAGTCTCTAAAATATTGTATTTCGCTGTCGCTGTTGCTGCCACAGGAGTTTTTTGTGTGAGCAGTGCTTTGCTTGTACAGTGCTTTTTGCCTTGTTTAGTGACTAACGCTGTCGACGTGTTTGGTTGTAAGAGCAAGATGGCCACGGGATTCACTAACACCTGCCTGTCGTGTAATGAAGCTCTGTCAGAAAAGAGTCTGAAAATGAAATGTGTAGAGTGTGAGTATTCTTATCACCTCGGTGCATGTCCAGGTATACAGGAATCGACCTTTAAGACTAAGGGGGAGAGCTGGCATAGTGCATGGCGCTGTCAAACATGCCGAATCTCGAAGCAACGAAGTAGTAAACCAAAAAAGGATTCTGAAGTGGACGTCATGGTTGCGCTGGCTGCCATGAATAAAAAGCTGGATAGTCTACTTGACCTTAAAGAGACTGTAAATGGCATTGAACAGGCTATTCAGATGCTATCGGACAAGTACGACGGTGTGATAAGCCGCATGACCCAACAGGAGATGGATTTAAAAGAACTGAAAAAAAGGGTCGAGAGAGTAGAGCAAGATGAGGCAAAAGCAGAAATCAGGCAACTCAAAGATCAAATAAATGAACTCGAATGGCGATCACGACGACAGAACTTGGAATTACACGGCATCCCGACGACTGAAAAAGAAAATATGATGGAAAAAGTGAACAAAGTAGCAAGGTCACTGCGCTTGCCAGAACTAACACCCACTGATATCGTATCAATGCACAGGCTGGCCTCTAAGCCTGATAAGATACCTGGTATTATTGTTCGTTTCATGAGTCAGACTACTCGAGATTTATGGCTTAGCAAACGATTGCACCTTAAAGAAGACGGAAATAATGTTTACCTTTTAGAAAACCTGACGAAACATGAAAAATCCTTACTTTGGTCTGCGAAGGAATGTGCAAAGGCAAAGGCTTACAAGTACGTTTGGTACAGAAATGGTAGGGTTCTTGTGAGGAAAGCGGACGGAGAACCAGTTATCGTTATCAAGAGCATTGATGACTTGGAGAGGTTGAGATAGAAAGGCTGGTAACGCGCCGCCATGAATTTCGCTAGTATTTTTTCCTTTTTTGTCAATGACAGACAGTGCTTATTTATTGCCGAATGAAGTGGGAAATTGCTTTAGATCCAAGTTGAAAACCCCCTTTCTTTGTTTCATTTGAACGCGCAGTCAGTGCGTAATAAGTTTGAGCAATTTGATGCGTTTTTGGAAGGTTTTGGCATTTCTTTTGATGTGATTATGTTAACAGAAACGTGGTACAATCAAGATGACAGTGTTGATAACTTAGAAAATTACTATAACTATAATTTATGCAGAACCTCACAACGAGGGGGAGGAGTTTCAATGTTTATAAAGAAGTCCATAGAGTGCAATATTGTCCATCAATTCACTAAACTCACCGATGATTATGAAATTTTGACAGTGCAATGTGCCCACGGTGTTTTTCTGTTATGTATAGACCGCCAGGAGGCGACATGTCTTGCTTCAACGCTTTCCTAGAAACGTTTTTCAATTTTTTGGGGGAAAGGCATTTTAAATGTGTCCTTGGAGGTGATCTTAATATAAATATGCTGGAACCGACACGGCAACGTGAACAGTTTTCGATGTTGTACCAATCATATGGCTATATTAATGTTATCAACGAACCTACGCGTTTCACCGCTCAGAATCAAACATTGCTGGATTTATTCTTGACAAACGTTTTCGAAGTAGATGTACATGCTGGTGTGATCGGGGCCACCATAAGTGATCATCTTCCTATTTACATGTTCATTGATTCAAGTGTTAATCACAAGAAAAAGCATTTTCGTGAGTTTTATTACAGAGATATAAGTCATAGAAACCTCGAGCGGTTTCGAGAACAGATCAGTCATACCAACTGGGATTCTGTTTTTTCCAAGGTGTCGGCCGACGAAGCATATGAAAGTTTTCTTGAAACATTTTCCAACATATATAATTGTAATTTTCAATATAAACGGTATGTTAATAGCAAGAAGTGCAGAAAACCATGGGTTACACCCGATATATTAAAAATGATGCAGAAAAAAATACACTCTACCAAAAATTTGTGCTCACTAAAGACTTGACTGTCTTATCAGCTTTCAGAAAGCAAAGAAATAGAATAACAAGTGAGTTACGACGGTCAAAACGAGCATACTACAACTCTCTATTTCTAAATGTGAAGCGAACGGAGGTTGTGTGGAAGAACTTAAATGCGATACTGCATGAAGGTAATAAATTGGAACCAATTACTGAACTAACAATTGAAGATGAAATAAAAACCGGAGCTACTTTGGCAAATGCATTTAATGATTTTTTTGTAGATTTAGTAAACAGTGTTCCTTCAACTGAAGCTACGAGATATGTTAAAAGTGTCCCAGAAAGTATATTCTTTTTCCCAACGGATGAGGAGGAAGTAATTTCTATTTTTACATGTTTAAAAAATAGTAAAAGTTGTGACATTAATGATATCCAAATAAAACCTGTTAAATACGTAATCAAATCGATTGCTTCGATTTTAGTGTATGTTTTCAATTTATCGATTCAGACTGGCATTTTTCCACGTAAAATGCAGGTAGCCAAGGTGTCAGTGCTTTATAAGACAGGGGATAAAAACGAACTGGGAAACTACAGGCCGGTTTCTGTTTTGCCAATTTTTTCTAAGGGATTAGAAAAAATAATTCATAAAAGATTATATCGTTTTTGTGAAAAGCATTCCATACTATCTCCTCATCAGTATGGGTTTCGTAAGGGCTGTTCAACTGAATTAGCCCTATTAGAACAAAAGGAACTAATTCTTAGCAATATTGAAAACAGGCTTCTTACGTTAGGAATTTTTATCGATTTTTCGAAGGCATTTGACCGCCTTAACCATGAAACCTTACTACAAAAACTGCTAGCTTACGGCGTTAGAGGTAAAGCTCTTGACATTATAAGAAGTTACTTGCAATCCCGGTTTCAGATGGTGGTAATAGATGGCTACCACTCTAATAGTAGACAAATGAAAAATGGCGTTCCGCAAGGAAGTATTTTAGGGCCGCTTCTTTTTAACTTATATATCAACGATATAGTAAATATTGACTCTAAGGTGCATATGATAATTTATGCGGATGATACTTCCATTTTTTTCTCGGGCAGAAATACTTCTGAATTGATAGAAACTGGTAATCGGTTTCTTCATAAACTGAATGAATGGACTATTTCTAACTCACTAGTTATAAACAGTAAAAAAACAAAGTCTGTCATTTTTAGATCAAAAGGAATAAATAATATATGTCAGCAGCAGGCCCTTACCTTAGGTGCACAAACTATCGAAATGGTTAAGACAGTTAAGGTGCTTGGGGTACTGTTTAACGAATATTTGCGATGGGATGAGTCCATTCAGTCTACTGCAAAAAAGCTATCAAGAGTAGTGGGTATCATTTATAAGTGCAGGGAAAAACTACCTTCATCGGTATAGCTTCTTATTTACAACTCTTTGTTTTATTCTTGTTTTAATTATTGCTTTTTGGTATGGGGAAATTCTACTTATTCGAATATTAACATTCTTTATTTGTTACAAAAAAAAGCAATTCGTGCGATCTGCAATGAGGCTTACTGTAGCCACACAACACCCATGTTCAAAAGATTAGGCCTGATTAAAATAACAAATTATTATGACTATAAACTTATTCTCATGTACAAAACAGCATTAAATAAGCCAGACAGTATCTTCCTTTCCCTGTCCTCCTTACAAACAAAGCAGATTTCATATGCTGTTCGACACGCTGACACCTGGATAGTCTCTCGTTCAAGAACCAATTATGGTGACCAGATGCTGCAGTATAGGCTACCTAAAATTTTAAATACTATGTCCCTTTTGGGTGTTGAAGTTGAAGTCATTTCCAAAAAGTGCTTACGTTCCAGATTTGTTGAATTGTAATATTTTAACTAGTCAAAATAGTGTACCTATAGTTATTTTTGTATCGTTACTGTTTTGTTTAATTTTGTATTTGAGATTGTTTACTCTGCGATGACTGCTGTTGCTGCCGAAGGGGAGGAAGGGACTCTGTCAAGCAGTTCCTACTGCTTTTTTCCCATCCGCCCACTCTTCATTGAAGAGAAAATAAACTTGAAACTTGAAAACTTGAAACTTGAAACTTGAAGTCGAGCAGACAGTTTAAAACGACACTGTACTTTAAGATTTTTTTTTTTTTTTTTTTTTTTGGCGTGAGCTAGCTTAGAATTTATTGCACGCCACCAAACAAGTACAAACTGTGCTGTCCCCATATAGTAATCCTATATAGGAATCAATAAATGGATTCAAGAATGATAACGGCCGTACCTTTGTAGCGGGCGGTAGCTTGCTCCACTTAGCGTCACGTTTTTGGCGTCGCGTTTTCAGTGTTGTCAATGTTACCATGGAGCCTTTCGGACCAGATTTTAAAATGCATTAACTTCAGAAAAAAAGTACTGTGATATGTAATTTAAGTTACTAGTTCAGTTGTGTCAATCAATGCGTCTAAACAATTTGTATGCAAATCAGTTTGGAAGTAACGAAAATCATTTTGTGTTCACTGACGCAGTAAAATGATTCTAGATGTTTGCCTATAACAGAACATATTATATCACAGAACATAATATTTTATATTTGCTGCTTGTTAGAATATCATAATGCAAGAGCCGTCAACACCCTCGCTTGGCTGACACTGGTGTTTTGGCATGCACAGATTACGACGCGTTGTCCTACCACAACGGACAGAAGTTCACCGTCAAGAAGAGGATGACGCAGCCACCCGACGGAGACAGATGCTCCGCAAGACTAAGTGGTGGCTGGTGGTTCAAGGATTGCAACGAGGCAAATCTTAACGGACGTAAATTCACCTACACTTCGCCAACAAAGGCCCTCGGTATTACCTGGCACATCAAAGGCCAAGAAGAATCCTACTATTATCCCTACGACAGTGTGGAGATGAAGATCAGGGACTACGACTATGGTTTCTGCACGGGCGCTTTTAGATCCAAACGTATCTAATTTCTAATTTCTGCTTCGGTGCAAAAAAAAAAAAAAGCACTATATTGAGCTGAAGTTGCCATTTACGATATGCTCCGTTAATTTCTCGCTTTTTGACTTTTTTTCTGCAAGCTTTGGAAATAAAATATCACTGCTAGAGAAAACAGCATGAATTGTCTTGGCTCTCCCGGCTACCGCCAACGTCCAACGCTAAAGCGGCGGTCCCACTGCTTATGCATTTTACAAAAGAGACGCTGCAAACACTGTCTGAGGCCTTCCTTGTAGATGAGGGTCCCGTCACACTGGTCATATAAAAACCCATTTTAGACATGTTAAAAGCATACATATGCACGAAGCACACACGCTTGAAACCTGATTGAGGCGTGAAAGCAGTGAAATCATGACTGCAGCCCGTGTCGTTTCTATGACGTACGAGCAGTGTGTGAGCGGCTTAAATTCACCAACTGCGCACCATTAGCGCCGACTAAAGCGCGGACCACATGGCGCGTTTTTCTGCACGCGAAAACGCGACGCGCTATGAACGCTCGCGCGGAAGCTGGCGCGGCACCAAGCACCGCCGGCCGCGCGTTATCAGCGTTGCCAGATAACAGAATTCTCAACACGCGATGTAAATCTTGACGCAAATATTAAAAATGAGAACTAAAGGAACAAATAAGTAAATAAAACTGGTTTGTGTGTCAAAAGACACACCTTTTAATTTTATATGGGAAATAAAAATGCTTTTGAACACTTCGAAATGGGCTGAATACGAAAGAGCGTACTGTGCAGGATCACGTGATAGTTCGACCGACCCTCATTGGGCGAGACCCGCTTCGACGCCTCGGCACGCGCGTCTTGTTCTGGGTCGGCTGGAAACCAACGCTCCCGCGAAAACGCGCGCCCGCGCGCAGGAAATGACGTCAGTTTTACACTGACGCGCCTGAGTCGCGAGCAACGAGGTAGAGGGGCTTAGAGCGATAAACCGGGGTTCCGGTCTGCACTCGAAAGTGACCCCCATAAGGCGGCTGCCATTGTACGCAAATTTGACCACACGTCACATGACCAAACCAAATACGTGACGTCACAGGAAAGATGGCAGCGCCCTTGCAGCGGCTGGCCCCAGCTGGGCCGGAGCTTGTCGGATGCTTTTTTGGTTGTCGTTCGTCTCGGCGAGTTGATTTCAGACGCGGAAGCCGTCATATGAGGCCGGTCGAAAGCGAGTTCAGAGTTCAGCGTGGTGTTTGACGTAGGTATAACGTGAAAATACGGAGAAACGGTGTGCATTTCGCTGGTGACCGTCTGCATTTCGCTGGTGACCGACCGGGATATTGCCACGGAAGACACAATCTGACCTACGTTGCTCGGACCTCGGATTGATTCGGATACCGCTAGGATAAAATTTAAGGCGACGTTTCTGTGCTCTCATTGACCATCGGAATCTTCGAGGTTTGCAGTGAAGCGTGGGCAATATATTTGGATACACAGTTTAACGACGGAAATTGCATGAGTCGTGCTTGGCGGTGTGCAATCGCGGTGCAGCTTCGGTCAAATGACCGAGGGCTCACTTCGGTTGTGCGGCGCACCGGAAGGCTGCCTTGAAGCTGGTAGTTCCCGTGCCGTGCTGAATGATGCTGTGCTGCTTACAAATTGTTCCGGCGTAGAAGTGCACTTTCACGGAGCACAGGTGTGCGGCGCACCGAAGAGCTGCCTTCAAGCTGGTAGTTCCTGTGCCATGCTTTAGGTGATGCTGTGCTGCTTCCGAAATTGTTCCGGCGTAGACGTGCACTTTCACAGAGCACAGGTGTTGCAGTTGGTATTGATCCCGCTGGTCTGTCGCACGTTTCGTCAACACAAACGTTCATCCACACTCGTTACGCGAATTACAAGCTGTCCGGACATTTCATCGAGCGTGTTACGTACCCAGCTCACGCCGCTTTGTGGCAACAGTCTGCAATGGCTCATTGCCAGAAAAGTGGTCCCACATCCATTTCAGTTCAGTACGTCCACGGCAGTCGCCAAACCCCGAAGGAGAGGATTTATTCGGACAAAATGCCACTAAAGCAATGCAGCTTCTTCAGTGTTCAGGATAGATTCTCTTCTGCGAGTTTTGTTATACTGTCACGGATCCTTGTTCCAGTACTCTCTTCTATCAATATTCACTATTTTGGGACACTGCAGGTCATGCTCAGCTCTAATCGTATGTTCAGGTGGAGGTGCTGGGCACTTTACCCATAGCCCTTCACTCTGTGTGAACCCGGCGGCTCTTCAGCCGAGTTACCCGATAATGGGACACGGCTGGCGGACTATCCTGCGTCTTATGCCCCTGTCGAGCCATAAGCAAAGTCCTGACCCGAGCCTGGCAGAACAACCGCAAGACGACCGAGTACCACAAGGAGTAACCTCGGAAATACACCACGAAGCACCTGAAATCCGAGCCAGTTGCTGCTACCAGGAAAAACCACCGGAATTCGGTCTCCTGTCAGAAAATCCGAAGCTGACTAAGCCAACAATGACAAGCCTGTAGCAGCAAACCGTGTCCCCTCCCACCATTGTTTGCATGCCCGTCGCAAATCCCACTCCGACGCTTTTTCACGCAAGCTGTATGAAGACGTCAAGGACTGGATTGAACAATATGACAGTGTCGCCCGCCACATTGGGTGGACAGACAACCAGCTCCTGCAGAACCTATACTTCTCGTGGAGGAAACTGCCGGCGCTGGTCTGAGAACCATGGATCCTCCTTAACGTCATGGGAAGTTTGCAAGATCGAGCTGAAGCGCGCATTCGTCAGCTAACATCAACGAGAGAGAGCCGCATTCTTGATTCTGTCCAGGGCACTGCCCCAATGAGAGCGCCACCGCACTCGTGGAGGATGTTTTGCGCTTGATCGAGCGCCCACGCCCACGCCCACGCCGACCTTGACGCTGCAGAAGACAAGAACCTAAGAATCCCATGCCCCTCACGTGAGGGACAACACCTTTGGCAGCCTTGTCCGCAACCCCCCAACAACAGTCGAAGTGTTCATATCACTGAGGCTTCCAACATGGAATGTGCACTGCATGCCCGAGCCTGCCACTATGAACAACTTCCCGGCGTCTCGACACTCGAGTTGTCCAGCTACTACTTCGACGCCAGCCTCCCAGGCATCCACGACGTTGTCTGGGAGGAGATCAGGAAGCTACTTCCTGCCATCAGTTGCCCGGCTTTTATTTTGATTGCCGAGATTGTTTCGGAACAAGTTTGACAGGTATTTCAACCGAGACTTCTGCGAGCGAAGCGGCACTTGACAAACCAAGGGCAACTTACGCCACAATGGCACGACGACCGCCACCGGCTGCCCCTTTGTATTCAATGCCAATTCAATGAGACACTCTAACGCCGAAGCATTCCCGGCATCGTGTGTAGGTCTGTGCTCAACAAAGTACACCGAGGAAAACGTAGGTGATGCGAATGTGCGACCGAAAACCACTTTGCTACCACTGCGTGAAGCCGACCATGTCTACCAAAGTAGCCCGTACCAATGAATTGGTCGGCGAGGGTTCGTGCCAAACGACCCTCGATTACGTCTCGAGGAGCGACCACGGGAGATTAAGGATTACCTTCGGCGACCTTTTGTCCCTGATGCCGAAGGTGCTGAAACGAAGATTCTGAATCCCTGATTACCCCAAAGCTCCTCATGTCCATCACCTCAACAAGAGGTAAGCACGACAAAGCAGGTGAACGGCGATGCAGTGACAGTGGATTTGGTGTCGGTTGTCGTCCAAGGACAATACCTAAAAATTTGCTAACACCAATTTTCTGTGTCCACTCCACGAAGTACACAATTTCCAACTTTGAGGGAGAATGCCCCTGAGTGACTTGAAGGAATAGAATGGTTGGTTGCTCTCAAAAGTGAACTGCAAGCATCACCAGACTTGGATAGCAAACAAAAATTGTTGCCAGCTTTCAAGTCAACGGTACAGCAAAAGGCACAGCCACGTAAGCAATACATGCCCGAGCTTGCTACATTGATGCCGAAAACTACCAGGAAAATTTTCGGATTAGAAGCCAGCCCTGCAGCTTTAGTGCATCAGACGTCAGTGGCCGCACATGACGTATGATTACAAGACAGCATCAGTCGGTCAAAGTTGCCACTCGACCAAACTGAACACCGACGTGCCAGGAGCGTTATCCGACAACAAGGTCCACAGGTACTACGACTGAACGCCTGACACGAGACTGTCGCAGAAAGAACTCGTTATGGAACCATTTACTAAGAATCAATAATTATGTAATCAAGTGGAAATAAACATATTTGATACACTAACCCGATAAACATATTTCCGCTTGCCTTCATGCCTTGAGAGTCTACACACCGAGAATTGTGTCCACTGCACGCTCTGGACCTTACGAGGACACTCGCTTCTCTGACCCTTCAATATTAATTAAGGGGTCATACCAGACTCGCAGACTTCTAGCAAGGGGCTGCACTCGTTCAACCTTTCCTGAACATGTGGTGCATCCGAAAACCAACTCCAGTGATGTGAAAATGTTATTTGTTAATTTATTCCTTCCAGGGGCCTTCGTAGGCATTGCAGAGAGGATACTTAAAACTACACACATGATAATAGCATTAAAGCACACTGCTGTAACTTGTTAATTGGAAAAACAAACACACCTCTGAGCATATAGTTTAATAGTATGTGTTGATGCATTGTTATATAGCATGACACTTCCTATATGTATGACACACTAGACCCTTTGCAGAACCTTATCAAGCAACACAACCGTCACCATGTTTTTCGGCGTAAAGCACACGAATGGGCCCCAGTTCACGTCGAACGCTAATGCAGCATTCGAGTCCAATAGGTGCTGAGCCGAATTCACAGGGATGGCGGACATAACATTCTTGTCGAACAAATGCCCAAACTCTGAAAGCCTGGGGTAATTACAGTAATAGCTGCTGTAATTTGTTTCATCAGAATTTGGCAGACGGCAAAGGCTACAGTCTCGGTGAGTCAATACACACATTGGAGAGAGGCACATGACAGCATATCACCAGAGTGCTCGTCTGCACAGATTTGTCACACACCTTCGCTCCGTCTCTCTGATTGGCTCGAGGGGACTGTGGCGGTTGGCCTTTCCAAGTTACGGTGATGCGAAGTATAGACAGCCC